GTCACGGTGTTGTGTCGTAATGCATCAGCGAGATGTTGTGCTCCGACAGCTCCGATTTGATAGCCTCCAAGATCTAGTGTAGTTAGTGTCTGTGTGAAAAAGTGTAGATGGGTATATGAGAGAGATGAAGAGAGAATGAGGGTGACGGTGTTGTGTCGTAATGCAACTTACAGTATGAAGATTTTTTTTTATTGTGTGTTTGTGTATTACATATATATATATACATAAATATGCGTTTATTTATAAATGTGTGTATGGTGTGTAACACCCTCTATATAAATTGTTATGCGACTGGTGAGTGATACTTCCTAATGGAATGTGTAATAAGGAGAAACAAAGGAGTTATTGTTCTGAAAGCTATATAACAGAGATCACAGACTCGCCGAGTTTCCTCGCCTCGTCTCGCCTCGCCACGAGGCGAGGCGAGGCAGTATTTTCCGCATGGCACCGCGACGAGTACGAGTTGATTTCACGACTCGCCGAGTTAACTCGCCTATACTTGTTAGTGATTAAATAGTAAATCCTAACGATATCTCCCGTTTCTGTTGTTCATTTTCTGAAGAATTTCTATTGTTAATTAAGTTAAACAAATCACAGCAATAAATGAGTATGGATATTTACGTAATACGTAATACGTATACATTATTTATCTATTCGGCCTAGACGAACAATTTCATTTATACAATTTCTATTGTGAATTTAACAAAGGTGACGTTTGTTATGCCAGTTAATTGAAATTTTTGCGATAAAAATTTTATTCCGTAGATACTTATAATGTGCTCGACAAACTCTTGTTCTTCTTTTGGTGATATTATCGATATTACAGAGGAAACTTGTTCAGATTCTCGAAATGTTGATCATACATCATCAAATATTTCTCAAATGTCTTGTAAAAGGATTTATAATTTACTCATGCGTGAAGGTGGAAATCTAATAGTGGTCGATAATACGAAGAAACATACTGCAAGTTGCTGGTCTCAATTTGGTTTTCCAGCTGTTACTGATGATAAAGGTGTTGTGTTGACAAAATTAGACAATTTTGTTTCATGTAAACATTGCTATGTTACATATTCTTACAATAATAATAGTACCTCGCAAACGAACAAACATTTTTGTGGAAGTTCACCAATAAGATCTTCAAAACACTCTGATACAACGTCTTCATCACCTTTAAAACAAAAAAAATTCTTTCTTTCACCTGTAATCGCCCAGGATCGATTAAACTAAACGAAGAAGAAAGTAAGAAAATAAAAAACCTTCTTGTAGACTGGGTTTGTACGGATATCAGACCATTTTGTGATGGTCAACTCTAGGCGTACTCGATTAAATCGACAACAGATAAACAACGCATTGTTTATTCGTTCAATTAAAAAAAATGAATGATTGTTATTTATTAGTATCTAATCTTGTATTTTTGTTTTTTGTACTTATTTATATATCTTAAATGTACTTGATTTGATCAAAAGAATTAAACTAGATAGTGATTATTGTGGGTGGTCGAAAAACTGCCTAAAAAAGCTATTTTTATAATAGACTATAGGCGAGTCGAGGTTTAGGAGGCGAGGTGAGGCGAGGCAGCGATGGTTAACTCGTCAGTATGGCGAGGCGGTAGCGAGGCACTTTTTTGGCTGACTCGCCGATCTCTGGTATATAAGTAAATAGTTGCCTCTGGATGCAGTGGGTGGGTACCCTAATGTTCGTTTCATTTGATACATATGGCACCTGAGAATTGTTGATTATTCACGTATTAAATAAACATACGATTGTAGTTTCAATTTTTATGTGTTTGTTTTAGTGTTATTTATGATGGTAAAAGATATGCTAACGTTATTTCAAATAGTTGTATGTGTATAAATAATGTTTGTAATTTATTGAGAATAATTAATAATGAAGTTTTGGTGAAACTTTATTATAAAAAATATTGAAATATTGCTACATTGAAGTTGGTGCCTAAATATACTGCACGATAAAATTGGGTTTTGAAGGAAGTTATAGAGTAACTTTAATCTACAGTTTTTTTATATGAGATTTGAGAGCTTTCATCAGTCATTGTGATGACCTGTAATTGTGTTATTTTCATTTTTAGTACTACAACGATATATAGATGAATGTGTGAGCATGAATTACTCGAAAAAATTCAGATTACATAAAGATTCTATTAAGTTATCATGTAGTTTTTGTGCACTACTTTGTTTAATGGGTCATTCATAAAGCATATTTAATGTGAAAAAAATTTTAGAAAACTCTCATTGATACAAATATACGATATATTTTTATTGAATAACAGTTGATAAAATAAATGGATTTGTCGTTTAGCCAGGGATATGGTCGCGTGGGACAGACTGAAATAGTGTCAATTCAAGACATTATACCTTGAGATGAGGTCATAAATATGATTGAGAAAGATGAATTGACTGTTTTTCAATTAAATTGATAATCACAATGATAGCTTATGAATGGGTTTTACTTGATGAAAATATTTGTTATTTCATTTAAATTCGCTAATAGGATTGCTCATACTTAGATATGGTTTTTAACAGTAAGAGGTGTGCTCGACAAATTATCGAATCTTGTTAATAAACGGATGATCTTGTGGACAAGCCTATGTATGGTTAATAGATCAAGGATGGGTGTGGGTATTCGAACAGTGAAAAACACACGCACACCGATACCAACATCCATACCCTTCATGAATTTGTTTTTGTGCACAACTTTGTTTTATTGAGAAATCTGAGAAATTGTTCAAACATTTGAGTTTCTGAATTAAAAGTCGAGAGAAACATTTTTTTTACAACTATGGTCATCAAAATCAATAATCAAGAAATATCACATTTGCTTCTAGTTTCAATTTAAATTGTATAGGAATGGGAGATGAATCTTAGTGACATCTATATTAGTTGAACTGTGAATGGTGGAAGAGGAAATGGCAGATTCCGGATTTCCGTAATTCTCATGAGTATTTCCGAAATGTATATTTAATTTCTATGATCCTCATTCTACTCTGACAAAAAAATTATTCTGAACTCTAAAACGTTTTGTAAAAATGATAGTGAACCATGATATGTTCTCTCTAGTGATACAGAACCACAGAAGGTTCGAAGCTGTTAACACTGATCTATAGAAAGCTTGCGTTCGTTTTTCAGAGCTCGTTATGGTTTTTCCTGTGAAAAGACAGAACATGTTTGAAGTTCTGCAGAAAAAAACAAAGCCTTCAGTAGAATGCCAATGGTAAAATCTTCTTTCACAAGGTTCCGTAGAGAACTGTTTCTTAACTATCAGAACTCTTTTTTGAAAATAGGTTGGTATATATTCAAAAGTGTTATTTTATGCAGCTATTTCTTCCCTTGCCTGTCTACATCGTGTCTTTTCAACGTCATATTTGACTCTTTTTCTTCGCACAAAAAAACGAGAACTATATGTTGTTTATTTACTTCAACTATATCAAGCTTCACAACTTGCAGTCTCATTCTGCTTAACTAAACAGTTTCCACTGTTTACCAATAGCTAATAACTCAATGAGACTTCAACAAATCCAAAGTTGTACATATGAACTTTTACTTATTTCCCTATATTCTTTCATTAACAGTAAAACATTGTATTTCTATGTTCTGGCCTATATTTCAATATCATTAGTAAAGAGTGGTCCATAAGTTTCGACCCCTCTCTGTAAATTGACGTTATCTATATGAATACATATATAGATAGTTGATTGAAATATACAGTTTTGTAGAGAATGAGAAGAGCTATCATCTGAAAAAAATTGGTTGAAATTGTATCGTAGTTATGAAAAGTTATGATCATCTTATTCATGATGACTAAGCATTTAACACGTTGCGTTTTTGCAAAAACAAAAAAAATTCTTTAATGTTTGAGTCATTTAAGACGAGTGAAACATTGTTTTCTACATGTTTTTACTAGATATTTTCATATGATTCAATAGAGTTCGACAAGCTCTACAAGAATATGAATTATTAAAACTAATTCTGATGCTGTTTCCAATACAAAATTTGGAGGAAATCAGAAAGACTAATAAAAATCTCACATATCTTGGATTAAAGAGTATGCTTGTCTTTCGATAACTCTAGCTGATTGACTGCTAATTTATGTTTCGAGATGCAGCGTCACATACTGAAGCTGAAAATAACCTTTCCGAGCTTCATGAGTAGACGAAACAGACGATCAGCCGACGTTATTGAAAGTTCAGCATACTCTCTCTAATGCAAGGTATATGAAATTTTTATTACTCTTTCTGATTTCCTTCAAGTTTTGTATTGGAAACAGCATCAGAATTTTTTTGATATTCATATTCTTGTAGAGCTCGTCGAGCTCTATCGAACCATATAAAAATGCCTAGAAAACGATATTTTCCTTCAGACGTTAGAAGCATATTTTGTTTTTGCAAAAATGCAACGTGTTAAATGCTTAGTCATCATGAATAAAATGATTATAACTTTTCATAACTATGAGACAATTTCAACCATTTTTTTTCAGATGATAGCTCTTCTCATTCTCTACAAAACTGCATATTTCAATCAACTATCTATATATGTATTCATATAGATAACGTCAATTTACAGAGAGGGGTCGAAACTTATGGACCATCCTTTATTATAAAACTTAAGTCAAAGACGGAAGATGATGACATAACGCATATACAGTTATCATCTCATGTAATTCGGTTTTCTTCAGATCAGAGGTAGGACAAGTATAAGTATCGCAAGTAAGAGTATTATATTTGTATTTGTACTTAAGTATAAAAAAATAGTAGATCATCGCGATATTATCTAATCACAACATAAACGATTATTAGAATATTTTAACGAGAATTTTTACTCTAATATGATGATAAATTCACTGCATGTCAATTGTAAAATCATCTGTTTTCCTTCTCTGAATTTCTTCGTAATTGTGATGAGCATCTCATAGAATTATGCTCGTTCGATTTAATGCCATAGGCAAACATAGTTGCTTATAACATTAAGACAATCTTATGTAAATTCTAATTTGTGATTTATAATTCAAGATACGTCATTGTTTCGCTACGTTTTTGAATTGTCTATAGAACTTTCCAAATAATGATCGGAAAGATTTTCACGTGAAATCTTGATGACTAATTTTTCGAATATATCTTAGACGTTCCTAAAAATCTAATTACATTAGTTGTATCTGATTATTTCAATATGTTGATTCTTTTTTTTTACAACTAATTAGTACTCCATCATATGTCCTTAGTTTTAGGTATGATGAAAAAAAATCAAAGAATTGATATAACTCGAAATAAGGCGTGCATTCGGATAAACGAAACAGAGTATAAGATCCAACCTTAAATTTTGAAGAGAGACATGCATCATTTATGGTTAGAACATCACGAGTAATTGAAAATTATGATAATTGTTCTAGCATTATGAGTAATTACGAACATTTCAACGAAACTAGAACACGCTTCAATTACAAAAAATGACTTTGTTCATAACTGAAGTTTAAGTACAAATACTTTTGTCCTTGCTAGTGATGGGCCGTCAGACGTAATAAGCGTTATACGTTCATTATCGTATCGTCGTAAGTCGTAACAGAACAGAAAAAATAAGTTGTAATGTAAACGAATAGTCGTAAGGAAAAGCGACAGAATGAAAGAGAAGTCATATACTAAGCGGCGTAATGAACGTCTTGCGTTCGTTACGCGTTATGATATATAACGAAAATGAGAACAATACGAAAGAAACGATTATAGCATAGCACACTATATTTTATT